AGTTGATACTAAATGGACACTGTTAAATAGCTTTGCTTTTCCTGCTTTCTGAGTGCCACTCCAATTTTATTCCTCGGATGTGTAGTCTAGCTGCCTATCAGAAGCCTTTGGATTCCCTCATCAATTGCTCCCGCCTAGTTCAGCCCAAGTTCCTGCTCCGAGGGAGAATGAGAGATGAGTGAGTCAGGATTCTGACCTCTTGCAGGTTGTATCATGACTGGATGAAGCTGTGCTTAAATCAAAAACAAAGGAAGGAAGATGAAAGAAGGAGGATGAATGCAGTAAAAGTTTCTAGGGAGAAGCAAGAGCTGAGTGAGGAGGGAACTTGTCTAGGGGAAGGGAAGGGAGGGCTTTCTGGGATGAGAATCAGCCTGGGAAAAGGCGTCGGACATGAACCTGGACCATGATTCCAGTTGGTCTGAGTCCTGGTTCCTCACCTCAGGGTTTTCAGCAGAGTTAAAAGGTTAGGTGTTTTCTGCTTCCTGCTCGTAATAGGACATGCCCTTCAGGCTTCTCCCTGCCCCTCTGGGGCCAGCAGTGCCTCCCTAAGTGATGGAGAGTCTACAGGTGAGCAGAAAGGGTTTTGGTCCCCATCAGCACGTCGCAGGATTCCAGATCCTTTGTGGATGTCTTTCCAGACTGAAGACTGTGGCCCTCTGCATGAGAATGACGGACTCTGATCACCTCCAGGATAAACTCTGTTTTTCTGCCATTGTGACAGTCAACAGTCCAGGGAATGGATGACAGGGCTGCCCAGTTGCCCTGTTTAACTGGAGGAGTCAACCTTAAGAGTCAAGAAAAGAGACAATGACTGTCTTACTTGTAACTTGTAAATATATTTGAACTCTAAGCGTGCCAATTTCCAGCTCTAAGCAACTAGCAGAAGAAGGCTCCCTTAAGCAGGGTTGGTTTGAAAAAGCACTATTATTAGCAAAGAAAACAAAAATAGAGTCCTTTAAAAAGTATTATAATTCATCTAATTCAGTATTATGTTCATCATATAATTCAGTATTATGTTCATCTCTCTGAGGGTTGGGTATTTTGCTAGGTATGGGGATAAATGAAAATGAGTAAGATTTGGCTCTGCCCCAGGAGGATTCTATAGCGTAGACTCATGTGTAAATAGAAAATAGTTCCAGATCATGACAAAGGTTCTACCAGGGAGACTAGAAAAGAAAATAATAACATAGAAAAAGAATAATTAATTCCCTCCTTGGGAGTGGGAAGAAAAGAGGTCACTTTTAAATTATGCAGAAGGGACACAGACAGTTAATTCTTTTAAAAGTCAAGCCATATGAAAGTACTAACATATAGCCCTGTTTGACATAAAAAGATCGGTCTCATATGGTTTAACCTAACACTAACACAGGATTGCCATGAGGGTTTTACTGTGTCTGTCAACTTTAATCTCAGTGGTAATAATTGTCCATTAGCTATATTGAGAATGATTCTGAGGCTCACGGGCCAATGGGAATGGATAATATTAACATTGATTAATGATGTCTGTCTTGGCTAGAAAATGGGAAAAAATAGTATTACTTGAATCTGTTTCCTCACTTCATTTATAAGGAGTGTAATAAGCAAATGCTTGGGTGTCCAAGAAGTGCAGGATGTTACCATAATTGTAGATGTGGGCTCGTGCTAATTGGAGATAGATGGTATCTGTTGGAGGCTGAGGCAGATAAAAGGCTTAATTCAGGGGGTTATTGAAAGGCTATGTGTATGCTGTGTTGGGAAGTGCTTTGAATGACCTTATAAACACTTCTTTATACCACTACTTGTGCTCTATTGACTATCTGACTTACTTTTGTAAACATATGCATGTTACCGCTCCTGCCCCCAAAATACATGGAGGTTTGTTCTTTTCTGCTGCTTTATTTTTGTTGAATTCAAAGCTCTCTTTTAGGAAAGGTCAGAAAGTACTAAGGGAACATACTCTTAGTACTTTGCAAATTAAATTGGTGAACGTTTTTAGGTAAAATAGACACCAAGTCTTGTGACTACATTCATTTTGTTTTTCAAAGGTCAAAGTCATTGCATAAAGATTTTTTTAAACTACTAAGAGAGCACTTGCAGAAGTTATTTCAGTCCTGTTTCTCAGGCTCCACAGCATAAGAGGAATTAGGAAGGCTTCATTATGCCCTGCTAGGGTTTAGTTTTCTATACAGAATCTGTGTTGTGTCCCAGCGGAATTCAATAAATTGCACTGAGGATATTGAAAATTGACCCAAGGGTTTTAACTGCACAATACTGAGATGTCCTTCTGGATGTGTTTTTGCTATAATTAGATGATTTTTCTTTTAAAATCAAGGCACCCCAACAAAATTTCAAATATCATTTTAGAAGTGCTTTTTAACCAAGGATACATAGAAGGAAAGAACTTTTGAGGAAATTTCTCAAAGTCCACCGACCTGTCAGAGCTGCCCTAGATAGTTACGACTTGGTATCTCTCTGTGTGTTCTATGGAAAGGAGAATTTCTGAGATATTTATCAATAAGAAAATCATGTGCATGGCTTCTGCAGATTCCTCTTGAACATCTATTGATAAAGAACATTTTTTGCAGATTATTCAGTATTCTCCTAGTGAGCACCTTTCTTCTCATTGGTTGATTTTAGACCCCAAGGCTCATCTCAGGATTGGTCTGTTTGCTCTTAGTGCCTATGACTATGCCAGTCACCTGTTAAACTGCTGAAAATGTACTGAGGAGAAATTAGATCAGATGAAGACCTATGCTATGGTAGGGTAAACTGTTTAAAAATGAAGTAGAAAGAACATAAGTTTAGCAGAGGTTGATCAAGACTCTTAGACTCTTTGTGCACTTACTACCAAGAGATGACCAGGTAGTAGGCCTGGTGGATCATGGCTACAATCTCAGATACTCTGGAGACTGAATCAGGAGGATCAAAAGTTCGAGGCCTGCCTGGGCAATTTGGCTAGACCTTGGTTCCAAAGTTAAAAGGGCTGGGAATATAGCTGAGTAGTAGCATGTTCCCATACCTCTCCCTTCCCGAGATAACCATTTAACTTCACCTGTATGCCCTGGACTAATTTGGAGAGCAGGGTTATGGGGAGAGGGGATGATTCTTTAGCTTTAAGCACAGCATAGGTAAGTAAAGGTGAGAAGGACATTCCTTCGGGTAGGAATTCTGTTCCAAGGCGACTTTATGAAAGACTGATAGGGGAAAAGATGAGATGAGTGTGGGATGTCAAGAAAATGTTTATTTCACCTGTAAATAATGTCCAAATTTAGAGCCGCACAAGGAGAAGAAATAGAAAGGGAACCGGAGGAAGGCTTCTCCTATTCCCTCCTTTTAAACATTTTAAACAAGTTTATGTGTTTGAAGTACATAATGATTATATTCAATGTTTTGCTGTTGTTGTTGTTGGTTTTAGGTTTTGTTTTATCTTTTGGTTTTGGTACCAAGAATTGAACTCAGGAGCTGGCACTTGCCAGGCAGGTGCTGTGCCCCTGAGCTATGTCCCCTGCCCAGTGATTTTATTCACTGTGGAGAACTGATGTATGCACATAACACCATTCTGCCCCCCTTTTACCTGTGTCCCCTCTACGGTGGTGGAATACTTGGGAGAGGCTGGAGTGCAGGTCAGAGAGAACAATAGAGAAATATTAATTTTAGTATCTCTATTTGGTGGAAGCCCAATGACATCAGAAGTTTTCTTTGGAGCTACATCCCCAGCCTTATTTTTTTTTTTTTTTTTTTGAGACAGGGTTTCTCTAGGCTCTAAATTGTTCATGCTGGCTTAATTTACAATCCTCCTGTCTCAGCCTCCCAGAGTACTGGGATTGCAGGTTAACTGCACTTTTGTTTATGTTGGGAAAGATACAAAAAGATTGTAGAACTTTTTCCCAGGTGAGTCCCCAGGATGTGGGAATGTTGCTCTTCCTGGGGGTGCACTTGTAAGATAGACTTCTTGTCATGGTGGTGACGGGATACCAAGGCAAGTGGGAATGAGCAGAAACCCCAAGGAGGCATTGCTAGCATCCTCAGTTGCCTTAACACTCCTCAAGGGCACTCTTTTCTCTGTCAGTCTTTGAGCTTGAACCTCATAGCAACAGGAGAAGATTCCTGACCCCACTTGTGCTTGCAGTGGGTGGTAGTTCTAAACAGGGCATAGACACAGACAGAGGTGACACCGCAGAACTCCACTGATCCTTCTTCCCGTAAAATTCCATTTTGCAAGGATAAGAACGGTGCTTTTTGCTTTAAATCAGGCAGAAGCTTCATCGCTGTCACTGGAGTGCAGCCACTGGCTCCAGCCTCTGGGATCCACCTCTGCAGCGGGCAGGTGGCAGCTCTGGGGAGAAAACCGGAGCTGCAAAAGCAAAGACCCTCTCCCCCTGGGTCGCCTGTGGATTCAGGGTGGGTAATGATGGGGATGGCAGAGGCTGCCTTCATTTCTGCCCTGCCTCTTATGTTTTCCTCTATAGAGCTAATCTAGAAAGACTAAAGCTTGGGGTAAGGGAAAGTATTCCCTAAACATACTGACACATGTCCTTACCAGTTACGAGTCACTGTTGTGTGCCGCTCCCTGCTGTGGGCACACCTTTTGGAGGTAGGTATACTTACCCTTGTTTTTCAGATGGGAATGCTGAGGCACAGAGAGGTCCAGTGACTTACCAAGATCACACAGTAAAGGGGTGTTTGAATCAAGCTTACTGTCTATTTTTTCTCCTGTATTCCTAAAGTTCCCTTTCGAGTATGCCGTACTGCTTCTGTTCCTGATCTGAAACTGGGTGCTGGGTCAGACAGAACTCACTACTCAGACCCCATGTGAAAAGTCACGGCGTGTGCTTGGTGGGATGGGGGTGGGTTTCCAGCGATTCCCTTTGGCTAAGGCAAGGGGCTTCCTTGGGTGTGTCCGTCCTGCGCTGTGGGATATGGCTGTGTGTTCATTTCTCTGCCTTTCCTGTGTGTGCAGTGCACTCTCAAGTGCAGTGTGCCTGTTCCCAAACCAGACGCCATCTCTCTCTCTCTTGTAGGCACGGTGCTGTTGTGCCAGGCAAACCAGGAGGGATCTTCCATGTACACTGCCCCCAGTTCACTTGTATATACTTCCGCAAGTAAGCCCACTGTCCTGGCTCTCTTTTTGTTTTGTGACATAAATCCGAGTCCAATCACCTTCCCTGCCATGTAAGTCCCCCTGTCCCCCATCCCTTGTGCTCTCTGCAAGGTAAACTTGATCTTCATCAGCATGTCTGTTTCCCCATTGCCTTAGCATCCGAACCCTCTGGCCATCGCCATCCACATGCCAGTCCTCACTTCCCAGGTGTCCCAGCCATTTGCATTACACCTGCCAGGCTTGGGGCCAATGGATGGGACGTGGGTTGGGAAGAGGGTTCTGGCAGTTCCACCAAATGGTGCCCTAGCCTAGCAAAAGAGGCTGAATCAGTCCTTGTGAGCATGGCAGCCTCACTGTGGGAAGTGGGACCAGCTTGTGGGTGCCTTGTTTTCAGAGTTGTTCTGTCCTTTGCTATGTAATACCAATGAGGAGGAGGAGAGAGAAACAAGGGTTCTCCCCACTTAACTGGGGGAAAGCAATATAAATTTGCTTTTGGGAACTGTAAGTGTATTTTAATTATATGTGTATGTAAGTATAGCTGTCAAGTGCTACAGGGAGGAGACCAGAAAGAAGCCCGGAGGACAATTCACTGTGTTGCTATGAAAGAACCAAAATTCCTTTCCTTGGGATGGATGGGCTGGGTGCAGAGTGCCACACCCTTATCCCACCCACCCCATCTCTGGAGCAGGCTGAGAATGACAGCAGCACTGATACCCTATGCTTTAGAGACAGGCCGACAGGAATGAGGAGAGCAGGAGTTCCGGGCTCATGATGACCAAGGGGATGAGAGACAGAGTTGAACCCCCACTGCCGTGAGACAGGGGTCGCCCTCCTCAATGTGCGAGACTGAGACAAACCAGAGCTGTCACAGGAAACCCAGAGTATGATAACGAGGACAACCGTGAGGTGGGCAGAGTCTTTAGTAAGTGGAGACAGGCTATTATTTCTCCCAGCTAGCTTATCTTCAGTGGCAACTTGGGCATTAATTAAATGGAAGGTATTTGTTTTCTGTGCCCTGAAAAGTCAGACTCTAACCATACTGGTTAGAAGTGGTTCTTTCTAAGTTTATGAGAATTGTCCCACATGGGTGATTGTGCATGTGTATGTGCACCTGTCTCCTAGGGGTGTAATGCTACTACATGTTTGCTTACCCAGCCTCATTTATTCCTCTCAACACCTGCAACAGGTAGGTCTTGCAATGCTTGCTTTTCAGATGAAGATATGGAGTAATTCACTCAAGTCACACAGCCTGTTTCTGTTGAACCTTTGGTTGTCTTTCTCGATGTATTTGACTCTAAATCTCTTCATCGTTTCATTTATCTCCCTACACTTTTTTCTCAGTAAATGTTTTCTGAAAGAGAGTTGATGCACAGGGTTGAGTCCTGGGGGATTATTTTATTTTCTCCCTAGCACCATTGTCCTGTAGCACCATCTGGAAAGAAGTCTTCTGTATCTGTGTTCACACGATCCTGGTAGAACTCACAGGCACTGGCTTATTTTAGTTAATGTTATAGTAACTAGCCACCTGGGGTGAGTGGATACTATATTGACAGTATGATGTTGCATGGTCATATGACATATTCATATTTGTTTTCTTTACAGAAGTAAATAAAAAAACTCCAATAAGTTTTAAAAAACTTACTTCTTTACAGAGGTAAATAAAAAAAACTCCAATAAGTATTAATTTGAATATATATAGCTATTCTAAAGTGAATTGAGTAAAATGTTTTATATAACAAACATGGAAATGTTTCACAAATTTTCTGTAATAAGTGGAGCACAGAGAGGAAATAAAACAATGTAACATGAGAGTTGGCACATTAAAGCCACAGACAAAACCTAGTTCACACCCTATTTTCCAATGCTCTTGAGCTCTGAATGCTTTTTAAAATTTCTAAGTATTTTAAAACCAAAATGAGTGTCATGGTGGTGCATACCTGTAATCCTAGCACTTGGGAGGCTGAGGCAGGAGCATCGCTGTGAGTTCAAGACCAGCCTGGGCTACAAAGTAAGTTCAAGGCCAGCCTGATCTGCATAGTGAAACCCTATCTCAAAAAGGCAAAACAAAAACAAAAACAAAAAAAAGAAAAGAAGAATGTTATACAGAGACATAGATAGCCAACAAAGTACAAAACATTAACAAAATATCTTTTCCCAAAAAAGAACACCTATCTCTGATTGATAGGGTAAATTTTATTATTAAAAACATAAATTTGCCACATTACTTTATCATATGTAATTGTACTTTTTTCTGAGTTTAAAAAATGTTTAATGATCACTGAAACCATGTATCCAACATCCTTCATTTTTAAATTACATCATCAGTCGAATCACCTGCATACTTTTCATCTTATTTTCACATATGCTATATTGGGTATATTCTAATCTATTTATTCCCATTGTTGAATTCTGAGATTCACTGAATTATTTTTTACAAAAATATTACAACCAGTGCCCTTTTATATAGTAGTTTTAAAGAAAATTGCTAGTTCTGCAATCCTATTTTTAAAAATACAATGTAGTTTCTTGTAATAAGGATCTCCACAGGCCCCTCCTTATGCAGTGGTATTCAGAAAGCCCAGTAGTATCCTGTAATAGTGAGCATCTCTAATACCTTTCCACCACACAGAGAGCAGCAGGGCCCAGGGACATTTTTCACTCTGAGGCAGTGTGGTGGTGCTGCTGCATGGAAAATTCTCCACCATCCGTAAGTTTCACCACAGAGGCTTCCTTTCTTGAACTTTGTGGCTTTCTGACCCAAGCTATTTGCCAGTAGCTAGAACCTTTGCAAGATGTACTTTGCAAGATTAAGATGCACCGTCCTGCACAAAGCCACATCCCACTCGCAGCAGTTCACCCAACACAGAAAGGGTCATTTTTGCAGGTACCCATGTGCACACACTACAAAGGTACACAGTGTTACCCAGAATCCCCCTCTGAGTCTGACGTATGCAGGACTGAGAGCCACACACCTTGTCTTTGAGATATGTTGAATACCCTTCTTCTCTATGAATCTAACCATCTTCCCAAAAGTGGAGGGTGTTTTACTTTCCAGAAAACTTTGAGGATGCTCTTGTGTTTTTTTTTTTTACCTTAAAAATTCATGTGTTTACCATTACTAACAGTTGCGCTCCTGACAATAAAAGGTGTAAGTGACATTTTTGTAAACGTGTGTACTAACTTCCAAGATTACTCATGAGTTTTGGTTTTCGTCCCTCCTCCCTGCAAAACAAAACAAAACAAAACAAAACAAAAAATTCCTTAACTGGCCTTGGATGTTTTATAATTAAATTGTTCTTCTTCCTAGCCAAATAGCTAATCATCTGTAAATAACATCTTTAAATGCAGTAGGGGAGATGGTTTTTTCAGGAACCCTGCTGAACTAGTCTGTAATGAAAATAATTCCTACTAAAATTTCTGCTTTTTTACATGAATTCCCTCTTAAGTGAATTTCCCTAATATGGCTCAGGGCACATGAAAGCATTAATACAGCGCTCACAAGTGTGTTCCGTAGATTCTCCCATTTGACCCCTCTTTGCTTCTTTTTCCCCAAACCTTATGCTGGTCTGAAACCTTAGCTCAAGTTGTCAGGAGACATGTGCACCCTCTAGCATGCCCTGATAAATCAGTGTCATCAAGAAAACCATCAATCTAAATGAAGTTGGAGCACAACCCCAGGAAATCAGGCAAGACCACTTTGTACCAAATGCAAAATGTTTATTATTAGTATTATTAAGCAGGCTCTGGGCACCAAACAACATAATCTCTTCCCAGATGGATTTAGTCAGTGACAGAACTGGTGGCTTGCTAATTGACCACCTCCCTCCTAGGGCTGTGAATGGTCAGCTTTTCTTTTCCAAGGCAAAGGCATTAGCTGAAATATTGCCCACACTTTTTGAATACGGCACATGCTTAACATCAACGTCAGCTTCAGCAGAACTTGAAAGGTAAGGTGTAGATTACCCACTTCCAAGTTAAAGCATGATTTCCACTTTTACTATTTGAGGTGTCAAGAAGTGGATCATTGTGTCCATCAATGGCAAGTTCCACTTCTGCCTTGGGTTAGTAAACTGAGCTATCACTGATCATTTCTGCATATGATGGAAATGTTTCCAGAAGTAGCTAACTGTTATCTACTTTATTTTGCTCTCTTGCAATTTTATAAATAGGTTATAAATTAGAAAAGTGACAGGTGCTCATGGTAACCAGTGAAGCATGCAAATAAACATGCACAATTATAATAAGATAGCAATAATATGTACCCTTGAAATAATCCATGTGGACTTCCAGTATCTTTTCACATTTTATCCACATTAAAATGGAAAGGACACACCTGCAGCTGGGGAGGGGGGCTGTTAGTATTTTGATTTTATGTGTACATCACACAGTTTGGTCATGCTCAGTTTCTCTTACTATTGTTGTGACCATTTCCCATGAAGCTTTTTTGATGTTTCCATTTTGTTTCATAGAGCGGATGGCCAACCCTTCTCTCAGAGTTGCCCAAGTTACTTTTCCTCGCACACTTTATAAAGGCTGTAAGAGACGTGTTTACAAACACTCCTACGGACCAGAGCTCCCAACATCCTCTTCCACAATTGCACGTTTCTGCTCTCTTTAACTTTGCAAATTAGATGCATGACAAATACAATCTCCATTTATCATTTGCATTTGTCTAGCTCCTACTTAAAAACATTTTTTTCATACAGTGAGCTGTCATCTGAACTTTACCTCTTGTGAGTTGCCACTACTCTTCCTTTTGCCTCTCTTCTGAGAAGTTTTTTTGTTTTATTATACAACAGGTAAAATAACTTGTGAGGAGTATACATATTGAAAACACATTTCCTTATTGGTCATCTGCCCTTGCTCATATTCCATTATACGTGTTTCATCATACACAAAAACAGATCTAACTTTGCTCTTGTTGTCAGGGAATTGCTGCCAGCCGCACATTTTGTTCAGCATGACGTGCAAGCCATCCTGACAAGTATCATAGACTGGAGG